GCCTGATCTAGTGGGGGATGTCCCTGCCCTGACAATTCTATGATTCTATGAAGCCGCTCTGAGAGGCGAATGGCGGAGTGTGCGCGGCAGTTCAATGGCGATTTGCATTGCAGAGGGAGGCGCAGGCCTGCCGCCACCCCAGTGGTCGATGGCTGCTTTGTTCCCACCTGGTCCTCTGGGAGAGTTGCGCTCGGATGTGTTAAAAGGAATTGATATAGTGATCCGTGGGGCTGTGTCGGACGCTTGGCCTTTGAAATCCAGGCAACTGCCGTGGGCTTCCCCCCAGGCCTCAGCCTGCCCAGGGTTCACCTTCCTCCTATCGACCACTTAGAATCATAGAATCATAGAATAGTTTCAGCTGGAAGAGACCTTAAAGATCATCTAGTCCAGCCTTTGTCCCAGCCCTATCAACCTACTAAACAATTCCCCCCAATGCAACATCCACCCGTCTCTTAAACACCCTCTGGGACGGTGACTCAACCCCCTCTCTGGGCAGCCTGTTCCAACGCCTGACAACCCTTTCAGTAAAGAAATTCTTCCTCACATCTAACCTGAACCTCCTCTAGTGCAGTTTAATTCTGTTTCCCCTCATCCTGTCACTTTCCACTAGGGAGAACAGACCAACCCACGCCTCCCTACAACATCCCTTCAGGTAGTTGTAGAGAGCGATGAGGTCTTCCCTCAATTTCCTCTTCTCCAGGCTAAACAGCCCCAGATCCCTCAGCCTTTCTTCATAAGACTTATGTTCTAAGCCCTTTACTAGCTTGGTAGCCCACCTCTGTGCACTCTTCAGCACTTCAATGTTCCGCCTGTAGTGAGGGGCCCAAAACTGCAGATAGTATCACGGAAAAAGCAAGGCACTGATGAACGCAGCAGCTAACCCCAGCCCCAAGTCAACTGGCACTCAAAACCGCAGGAGTTTCTCGAATGAGACAAATTCATGGTTGTAGCATTCATCACAGTGAGAAGTCCTGAGACTCTCCAAACTGCCGAAGGAGAAGTTCAGGAGTCTTCAGAGCATCTCGTGATGTTCCTTACATGCCAGGGCTCAGGCACTGCCCCATGATGTCTATGAAATCCTCAGCAGTGCCAGAGCTGCCCCAGGCTGGAGAGAAGCCTGTGTGGTCTCTGAGTGTGGGGCTGGGTGTAAGTACCACCATACCCCAGGCACCAGGAAACACACAGTGAAGGTCCTGAAGCAGGCTCACACATCAAAACAACCTGCTGACAGTGACTACTGTGTTAGCATGGCTGGCAATGCAGATGGATGGCTTTGGGTCTGTCTCAGTGCCCTTTGCTCAGAGCAAAACCCACTGTGCCCTGAAAAATCTTTATCTTCCTTGATATGATCCTACAGGGAACTGCCAGACTGTAGAAGGGAGCTGTGGGGTGACCTAGGGCCCCAGCATCCCCTGTGGTTCCCCAGATCTCCCTGGAGGAGCTGTGCAGAGCACTTACACAGGAGGAGCAGGCTGAGGCTCTGTGTGCTCTGTCTTTTTTCCTAGGGATCGATAGCTGAGCTGTGGAAGAGGGATCTTCAGAAGGGAAGAGCTGTGCTTTGTTCCACAAAGGTGACAAATAGAAATAGCTTCATTAGCAGAAGTGGCCAGGGCTGCAGAAGAGGCTGGGGTCTGTGCACACAGTGCTGGCCTCCATTTAGAGGGTATTGGCTGTACCATGGCCTGTGCCCAGCATGATGGGCAGTGCTCATGAATACACAAAGGCCCATGCTAGAGGGTCACAGATCACCCACTTCCCCAAGGTGAGAAATTAAGGTAGTCCTGGGACTTAAGCACTGGCAGGGCTTTGGAATTGGAAGACATCCACCATTTAGAGTCCCCTCCAGCCTTGAAATGGGTCTGAAGACACAGCACTGGCTATCCACCGTCTGGCACAATGCACAGTGAGTCTGCCCCCTGCTCCTTGCGGCTAAGAGGAGACCTTTGACCTCGGCACCATCCCTGGAGCTTGTGGTGGCACGCTGGTGCCACAGCTGCTTGCCCCCAGCCCAGCGTTGAGGCTAGATCCAGCACTCTTCCTGTTAGGCTGGATCATCTCCACATCCTCTGTCTCCTCAATTACAGTCCCTGCGGGACACGGGAAGCAGGCATCGATCGGGGCTGGTTACTCAGGTGACAGCAGCTGTGTCCCCGAGCCCCCCAGGGAGCGTGGCGACACACACCACCCCCTGCGCTCCATAAGGAGTGGGGACATGGGCCGGCGTGTACCCTCCCGGCTCCCTGGGGCCCTGGCGCTCGATGAGCTGTGGCCAGCCCTACCAGGCAGTGACAGGGGACACGAGACCCCAATTAAGGTTTCATCGATCTCACGCCAGCTCCATTCGGCAAGCCGTGCTGTGGCTGCAGGAGTTCCGTGCCTGGGCTTAGCTGTCTGTCGCCCTGGCACCCCTACCACAAAGAAAACACACTGAGTGCATCTTGCAGCCTGGGGCACACACGGACACACAGGCACGGACACACAGACACGGACACATGGACACACAGGCACAGAGACAAAGTCATACACACTAACGTACACGCTCACGTACACACTCATGTAGACGCTCCCTCCCCATTCACAGACCACCTCACCCTCATGCCCATCTACACGACCCAGCCCCGAGGCAGCCCTAGGATCCTCTGCAGGAG